GCTGTTGCTCTCTGTCCCGTGGTCAACCTGTCTGCTGTACTTACAGCTTTCAATCCTAAACTATATGTTGCACCTTCAGACAGAGTTAGTAATGCCACTTTCCATTATTATGGTACAGGACAGCATGTGCTGGCAGGGAAATTGGATGAAAGATAGATTTAATCTTTGGGTGGAAGTGAGAGCCTCTGGTTTGTGACAGATCCAGTCTTGGCTTTGTGGAGTTAGCAGGTTTCATCTGTCTAGGTCAGACACTTACCCCAGATCAGTGAGCGCTTGTTTGTTTATGTCTGCTCCAAGAGTCACACAGATGTAGCTGTCTTCACAGGCACTGTTCTGTGGTATTGAGCTTCATGTTATCTGGAAAGTTGCAGTAGATTGACTCTGATGATAGCTTTTTTGTTCATTTTAGTTTTAGATTAAAAAGTGAATAACGTGATGTTTAAACAATCATATTCTTTCCTGGAGGATTGTTTAGTACTTGTGCTGGTTCATCACACCTACTTAGAGGGTCACAGACAAGGTAGTTGCAGCATTTTACATCTTAAGGTGCTTGGTTTTGCCACATCTGGCCACACGTGTAATAAGCTAACAAAGTGGTGGTGGGCAGAGATGCAAAACACAGTCCTACTCAAAGTATCTTGGGGCTATTATTGGCTTAAATTTTGTCGAAACAGGAGCAGGAACATAGGAGGCTGCTTTGTGGTGAGCGCTGTGCAGTGGCGTGTGCTGCTATTGCGTCACTGCCTAGAGGGGGGCAACGACTGTATTTTTAGAGTGGAATGAGCATATTCTCTGAACAAACAACGTCAAGCTCTCTGCTTGCGTATGCTAGGATTATTGTGACTGAGCTATTTTTATGCTGTGTGTGTGTGTGTGAGAGAGAGAGAGTGCTTTTTTTCTGGGTCAAGCATGATGCCAGTACACTCTCGAGGCTGCTGGTGCATTACAGGTTCTATGCTGTTCACAGCATCTGCATCAGTCACAATGGAAAGAGTCAGAGAGACATTAAGCATTATGGCATTTTCAAAGTCTGTCTGTGCCTGCAATACTGCTGTAAATGAGACATGTTGATTATATTTGTCCGGAACAGACACTCCTGAGAACAGCTAATTCTGAAGGACTGTCATTTATCTGTAGGATCATTAAAGGAGAAGATATTGCAAACTAAAAGCAAGCTGCAGCCACAATGCATAAATATGTGTGTGGTGTGCTAGAATTTGATTACATGTAAAGCCAGGCTAGGCAACGCTGGACAAGCTACCAAGAGACAACTTGATTTTGAATGTATTCCAACCAAAAAAAATCCCACCCTCTCCCTTCAAGCATCCCTCCAACGCCACTCACCCACACACATTTTCATGCGCAATAAGTACGTATACAGTACTGTGCAAAAGTCTAAAGCCGGTGTGGAAAAATGCTGTAAAGTAAGAATGGTTTCAAAAATAGAAATGTTAATAGATTGTGTATCTATTAACAAAATAAAAAAAAGTATATTGGAAGCATTAGTGTACGTCAACAGAAGAAAAATCGAAATCAACAGCATCAAATCTTTTAGGTACCGCAGTTTTGAAGGTATATCGTCAGGTGTATGATTAAACAATTTTACCAGACAGGTGCTAATGATCATACATTCAAAATGTAGGTTGATCATTAACTAAAACAAACAGCAGTGTAGGAGGAATACAGTTGGGTGAGGAAAAACCAAACTCGGCTAACAAGGTGAGGTAGCTGAAGACTTTTAATCATCACAGTATAATATCAAGTCATTTAAACTTCAGGGATATCAATTTGTCCAGTTAGGAAGGATATGGGATTGTCACCTGTTTTGATGCAAATAAGTGACAACAGGTGCACTGAAGAGGCAACAGCATGACAACCCCCAAAAAGGGAATGGTTTTGCAGGTGGTGGCCACAGACAGATGCTCTCACAAGAGATTTTTCTCTAGTTTTGTGTTTTCCTGGTGTCCTTGTCACTACTGGTAGCATGAGGCGGTACCTGCAGCCTATTCAGGCACAAGTAGTCTGTGTCAGCTGTGTCTCCCAGCACATTCTCAAGAGTATGGAGGAGATACCAGGAGACGGGCCGTTACACGAGGAAAGCTGCTGGGTTGATGCCATAGAAGGGCATGGAACCGATGTCTACTCATTTGTGCGAGGAGGAACAGGAGGAGGACTGCCAGAGCACTGCCAGAGCCCTACAGAATGACCTCCAGCAGGCTACTGGTGTGCATGTTTCTGACCAACCTGTCAAAACTAAACTATATCTAGTCTAGATCTGGTGGTGTGTCAGTGAGGGTTAGGGGTGGGAATCACCAGAGGCCCCACGATACGATATTATCACGATATTATGTTATAATTTATTACCTTTTTCCAACTTCCAATTAGGTCCCTAAAGTCAAACTTTGTCAACATCTGTTTATCTAAAAAGATACATTTCTCTGTTTGTTCATATCACTTTTTCGGTCCTCTATATGGTCCTGTTAAGTTTTCTAGTGGACTAAAAAAAGCAATAGATTTTATTATTCTAGTAACAAAAAGTTAAAACTCCCATCTGCAATTTATATAATAAAATATCGATACTTGGCGTCCGTGTATCGATACAGTATTGCCATGGCAAATATCACGATACTATGCTGTATCGATTTCCCCCCCCCCACCCCTAGTGAGGGTCTGGGGAGGCATATCCTTGAAGGGTCCCACGCACCTCCACATGCTAGCCAACAGCACCATGACTGCTGTTACATACCAGGATTCAATCCTCAGAGCCATTGTCAGACTTTATGCTGGTGAAGTGGGCCCTGGGTTCCTCCTGGTGCTGGACTATGTAGGCAGTTCTTGGATGATAAAGGCATTGATGCCATTGACTGGCCCTCACGTTCCCCAGAACTGAATCTAATTGAGAACCTCTAGGATGTTACATCGGTGCATCTGACGCCGCCAGGTAGCACCCCAGACTGTCCAGGAGCTCAATAATGCCCTGATCCAGGTCTGGGAGGAGATCCACCAGGACAACCTCCGCCTCCTCATCAGGAGCATGCCCACACGTTGTCGGGAGTACATATAGGCACGTGGGGGCCATACACACTACTGAGTGTCACTTTACAAATTGCTGTGATGAAAGTTGGATCAGCCTGTGATTTCTTTGAACTTTGAACTATTTTCTTCATCAATATCTGAGGTGTGATGGCAGTGTTCACTTAAAGTTTTTGAGCAGTGTATATGCGTATTGCAACCTTCCCCTCTAAAGCCAGGCACCAACAGAGGCCTCTCTGGCTCCTGAGCCGCAGGCTTTTCTCTGCAGGCAAAACCAGGCTAGCCTACTTTTGTCCCAGCCATTCTCGAGAGTGCAGTTATTTTCAGCTATATGTGGTATTCTGCTCTGGTTTTGTCAATATGTTCTTCTGTGTAGAGCTAAGATATATTATATGAACAATGTATAGAACAGAATGTTACCCTCCTTTTAGCTAGCACTTGGACAGGCTGCACCTTTTTGTTCTGGCAGTGCATAAGTGCTTATTAGGCAAATGTGTGTTCAGAGTGGAGTTGTGTGTGTGAGAACTCAATACGTGGTGGACCAAAGCCCTTGGTGGAGCCTCCCCAAAGCAGACCTTTGTACACTGGATAAGTGACGCAGTGGGATTATTAGTGTGATTACATAGAATTGCTGGATTTTGTCAGAGAAAATAAATAATGTGGGTTTCCAATGCTGTGTGGTCTGATTTGGACAGCCAAATGCAGACAGTGCCAGGGTGGTGGTGGTGTCTCCCATCACACATAGTACAGTACAGTCTCATCAGCATGGTGACTAAGTTCCTGTCCTCTGTGCTTTCACAGACTGAGCTATGCCTTCATTAAATAGCCTTTTAAATCTTTGTTGAATTATTAACAGGTGTGGTGCTCTTTTCCAAAATGCAACATATCTACTTTGGAGAATATAAAAACGTACTAACAAAAAACACAGCCTAACATAGTATTCATTGTTATCTGCTCCAAAGACTGAAATTTCAAGTTTATCTATACAAATATTCAATATTGTGCCTCTTTGTGTGTGTGCCATCACTTACTTTGACAGAAGTGTTCTTTCAACTAGTGGATATCTCCCTTTCCGTACTCATATTCAGTTAATGTGTCACCTGAGCTAGCCATCTCTACAGTCATGATCTTGTTTTGTGCTTGCTTGGCTTTGGAGAGCTGCTTTTTCTTTAGTGGTCAAAAGCAGAATTCTGCAACTCACGCCACCCACACGTTGGTTATGTATAGCCCACACCTACCGCTATCTGCACAGTAGTTTGAAAACAATGCTTTGTGTAATTCTAAGGCTGCTATTTGTGAAACCTTGAAATATGCACAGGGGGCTCTTACAATGTTATGTAATGCTCCCCACTCAACTCTAATCCGTCTTATGCTGAGTGAACCCCCCATGTGACGCTGCTGAAGGTTTGGGAGAGACAGGGTGGCTGTTGCTTTCTGTAGACTCTGGCCACCCGCCACAAACGCGCGCACGCGCGCACATACACACACACACTGAGCTTTGGCCTGTGTATAAGAAGAGAAGTTTATCCTGTGCCTTACTTGGATCTAAGACGCTGGATGGAGACACAACGCTGATGCTCGTCCTTAGTGCCAAGGCTTGGACCCAACATATGTCCTGAATGACACTCCGGCTCTCTTCTCATCTTCATCTGCGCGTGAGCCAATGCAATTGATCTTTGACCTTGGTTATCTATAGAGGAATCTTGCAGCTTCTGAGATAACTCGTGCTGTGCTACATGCTGGTTCGTGTTTAATGGTTTTTGTTGCTGATTGAAGCTGGTTTCTGCTTTTGAGTGATGGGTGTTGATAAAGACCTAAGCATCAAGTATTTTTAGAGATCCACCGTCAGGATTGACAGTATGTCTTGACTATAACAAACACTACGTATTGGATGCTTGCAGGTATTTATTTTTAAACATATTCACAGCGTACGTACTTCATGCTTTTATTTGCTTCTTCCCCCACAGGAACCATCAATGTGGACTTCATCTGGTGATTCGACAAGTCACATATAGGAGCCCCCTGAGTCTCTCCTGCCCCCTCTCCCCCTCCCTTCCCTCTGTCCCTCCCTCCTCCTTTCCCTTATCAATCTTCTCCCTGACCCCCCTTTCACCATGCTTATAAAGGAGTACCGCATCCCCATGCCCATGAGTGTGGAGGAGTACCGCATCGCCCAGCTCTATATGATCCAGGTGAGGTAACAATGCCATTTTCCCCACCAAATTCTTATCCACACACATCTGAACCAAAATGGCCAAATGAGAGGACGAAAATAAACGGTCGTAGAGGAGATACATTAACACACCGGATTTTTCAAGAGTCCGATCTCAGTGTGCCCAATTATGAAATGACTGGTCACATGGTGCCTGACACTGCTGGAGTAAAGGAACAAAGAGCGCTTGTGTGCTGATAGATTATCCAATTTAAACTCCCTGAAGCTGGCTGTTTCCACCCGTCATAGGCTGCATGTTTTCGTTCGGGAGGGTGGAGGCACCCTGCTCTCACTGCAAACTCCGGTGCTCACACATACGGCCGCGATGGAGATGCACATACTGTTTTGTCTGTGTCGGACAGTTTCACTTTTCTATCCGAGCCCCTGGATCTGTGTAAGAGCTTTAGGGGTTACAGCTCCAAGCAGGAAAGGCTGATTTATACAGCTTTACTTATCCTGTGTGGCAACATATTTTCTCTTCATATAACATGTATTTATGAAGGAGGATATATTTAATCAAGTATTACTGCCAGGTGCACTGTGAGCAGCAGCACACAGACGATGCATGGACAGCAATCACAATGGGTCAGACTGGTAAAAAATCTGCACTATTTAGTTAATAAGTGTACACATTTAGGTGCATTATTCTGTTTTAAATTGTTCTCCTTTTGATCTCTGTTTTCAACAGCTCCCCATCTACTGGTTGTGTCCCTGATTATTTTAAAACGGCTTGCGTAAACCCACTTTTAAAGAAACCTGGTTTAGATCCCTCCCTCCCACATAATTTTAGACCAATTTCAAAACTGCCTTTTATTGCAAAGATTCCAGAAAGAATTGTGTCCAAACAGCTGCTCACTGTACTGGAAAATAACAAATTATTTGAAAAGTTTCAGTCTGGTTTCAGGAAGTACCACAGCACTGAGACTGCCTTGCTTAAAGTCACCAATGACCTTTTAATGTCTGCTGATGAAGGTATGTGCTCAGTCCTTGTACTCCTGGACCTTAGCGCTGCTTTTGACACCATTGATCACAACATCATGTTAGACAGACTGAGGCACTGGGTGGGGATCTCTGGTACTGCCCTAGAATTGTTTTCATCCTACCTGACAAATAGGAAGTTTTGTGTGTCTGTAAACAACTATGTCTCCTCATTCTGTCCAGTTAAATATGGTGTGCCTCAGGGGTCGGTATTAGGACCCATTTTGTTTTCCTTGTATCTGCTTCCCCTTGGACATATTATCCATACACATGGCATTTCTTTTCATATTTATGCTGATGACACACAAATATACTTGCCCGTCAGATCCACAGACCCTGGAATGCTGAGTTCACTTAACAACTGCCTTTGTGAAGTTAAAAAATGGATGTCAAATAATTTCCTCCAGCTGAACTCAGACAAAACAGAAATCCTGGTCATCGGGTCTCAGCAGATGGCAAATCAAATACTGCCATCTGCTGGTTCCCTAGTAAATCACATTAAGCCTGTGGCAAAGAACCTTGGTGTTTGGTTTGATAGTAATTTAAATTTCGAGCAGCACACCACAAAGCTTGTTCAATCATGTTTTTATCAACTTAGAAATATAGCAAAAATTCGATCTATGTTAACTTTTAAGGACACCGAGACCATTTTACACGCCTTCATCTCATCACGCCTGGATTATTGCAACAGCCTTTTCACCTGTTTAACCCAAAAATCTATTGATCGACTCCAGACTGTCCAGAACTCAGCTGCCAGGCTTTTAACCAGAACAGAGAAATATGACCACATTACTCCTATTTTAGCTTAATTACATTGGCTCCCAGTATGTTTTAGAATTGACTTTAATATTCTATTGATCACTTTTAAAGCTCTTCATGGCCTCTCACCTTGTTATATTTCTGAACTTTTAGTCCCATACACACCAGCACGTACCTTGAGATCCTCGGGCAGAGGTCTGTTGTCTGTTCCAGAGTCTCGACTGAAAACTAAAGGGGACAGAGCGTTTGCTGTCAGGGCCCCGAGGCTCTGGAACAGCCTGCCTGAGGAAATCAGGTCGGCTGAGTCAGTGAACTCTTTTAAGTCCCTTCTTAAAACATACTTTTATAGGAGAGCCTTTCCCGATCTTATTTGACTTTATTTTATCCCTTTTATTTTATTGTATAAGTTACACAGTTGTTTGATCAGTTTGACTATATTTACCTAAGTGTTACCTAACTTATACTCTTTACATTTATTAGAGTTAGGTGATCGTACATAGAAGCTGTACTGTTTCACTGCAGCCCTTACGGAGGAGCAGCTTCGTTGGAAACATTTGGTTCGTTGGTTAAACATTTAGGCCTTGCGTAAGGAAACCCCAGCATGCCTTCAAGCTGTTGACCTTTCCAAAGAGAGGCCTCTCCTACAACTGTTAAGTCTTACACCCAAATTAATGAGCATTTATGTTGACAAAGTTGTCTAAAATTGACTCACCCACTGGTATAACAATACTATAACTCAAGCTACAGTTTTGCTCGCCTTCTTTTTCCCCGCCTCTCCCTTTTTGTACTGTGAAAACAGTTTGTTTAAAAGTGTGTCTTATAGTGTCTGACTACTGACTTGAAATATTTGTTGTATCAGGATTATATAATTGTAAAGGCATTTCTTTTTCCTGTCTGCACAGATGGAAATATTAGATAATTACAACACAAGTCCATAAAGAGTATTGGTTTCAAAAAGAGTATGAGAATTTAATGTTCACAACCTGGTCAGTTGTTCTGTTGTTTTTCTCCATATCCTCCCACCGGTGTACCAAACAGACGGGTAATCCAGTCGAGCTGTAAACGGTTGGGAACATGCAAGCAAGCAGACGTTTCAAGGCGGCACAAACTAGTCACTGCACCACAATTTATGCAGCTTCACACTCAGACCTTGTGCATGCCGTGTGTGAGATTTTGTCAGACAGGGCCGGTTTACACTAAGTCTTTGTGTATGGGAAAAAAAGCAGTTAATATGTGCATTCTCAAGCATGTAAACATAGGAAGAGGAACTCTTACATTATTGACCCATAGTTACCTTTTCCCCCTGAGCTCACCCGCTTTGCACAGCCTCGTTGCTGTGAGGCCTTTGTCACTATGGCAACCATGACATCAGCAGCGTGCCGCTGGTCAGGTTTTGTTCGAGAGAGGGAGTGAATGAAAAGAGGAAATGGAGGATAAAAAGAGGCTGCGAAGGAGGGAGGGAAAGAAATTAGAGAGGAGGTGGAAGGAAAAAAGAGAGTGCTGTATTCTGAGCAGAGAGGATTTTGCTGGTGTCTGTGGATACCCTCACTTCATCACTGTATGTTACCAGGCAACTGCAGCATGTAGGCCTGCCTGTCTGCGATCCATCCCAAGCCTCACAGATGAAGTCAGGGCCCTAGGACAGCTTGGTCATGTCTGTACCTCAGCAGGCAATACCCCACCCAATCTCTCCTCGCACTTTCTTCTCTTTTGCCCTTACCTCGCTGCCTTCTTATTTGATAGCAAGTTGTAAAGTCATTATCACCGCGCAGGGATTTGCTGTAATGTACGAAGCAAATGCAGAATGTGTGAGAAATTAAATATGAGAGGATGTCACTGTGTGTCATTCATTCACACACAACATCATGTTCTGAATAAGCAACTGTATCTGTGGAGTGGAGTGAAAAACAGCATCTCAAACAGGAAACACGGCTCACTAAATTGATGGCGAGAGGGGAAAAAAACAGGATGTGACTCTCATCCTGTCCAAACCGTTGGATCTAAAAAACATACAGTAGGCTTTGATGGTGCTAGCTTTTATTTTGTAGGGGTTTGATGGCTGTTTAAAGATAGATGAGCAAAAGTGAGAGAGTGCCATGTGGCAAAGGTTTTAGGGCTTGAACTCGCAACACAACGACACTTTGTCTTTGTGTACTGAGCCAAAGAGGATTTCACAGTAGAGCGATGTGGATGAGAGCCCTCCTCCCTCCCTTGTGAAGGCAGTCGATACACTTGAAAACAGTTTCTTCATTTCTGTTCCGCCACGGGTGCAGTTGCACATAAATGAACAAAGCACACCGTTTTCATTAAGAATCTAACATTACATTCAGTGTTCATTTAACTTTAAGCATGTTATCTACTTTCTCGCTTCTCTTATTTCCCTAAGGGAACAGCTGAGCCCTGACCCATGTTTTGTAATATTAGAATCATCTGTCGCTCCAGGCGGGAGAAGACTGCTTTTGGCAGGCTGCAGTCACCTGTCAGCGATCTAATTAAAATGACAATCCACAGCATAACACAGTGAAACTTATTTTTTCCTTTTACCTTGACGGCTGACTTTACATCCAGACATAATTTGGCAACAGTGGGAGCTGTCAGCGGTGTACAAAGGAAGATGATTACATTTTGAAAACTGAACAGCAGTCTCTCTGATAATAGTAGTCACAATGATGCGCTGACCTTATTGTGATTAGTCTAATTGAAAGCTAACTGATATTGCTCTATATAAGTGGAAAGAGATGTGTTATTGTGTTAAGGGGTGAGCTTTTCCTTTGCACATCTTGCTTAAAATTGTGGATCTGTATGATCTGTGTATTTATTGTTTACATTACAATGTGTGCATTTCTACAGCAGCATATATTTTATAGTGGTTGTATGTAAACAGTACACTGTAAACTTGACATATACATCAACCAAGTGTTGTTATATAGTGGCTGCATGTACGGCCAGTTTGACGGTACTGTGGCGTCTGTGCTGTGTCTTTGAAAGTGTGTCTGGGCTGTTGAGAGCAGAGTGGGTAGCTAATGAATGACCTGTCAGAGGTAATGAGGTCCGGAGCGCTGGACGCCTCATGGCTTCCTCCTCCCTACTCCACTGATTCACTGCCTCGTCTCTCCCCACTGGACTGAATGGAGAAATCTGTCCCTCCATTATCCCAGTGCTGCTCTAAATACTGCGTGAAACATACCTGGAGCTGCATGTGGTAAGACTGGACAAGGCTGATAAGAGAAGATGATACATATGAGATAGTAATCTCTGACATTTATGGTCTTTGCTCGCTTTTTAATGTTGTCAGCACTTGGACTATGGTCTACTCTCTAGGTTTCCCCTTTTACTGATTTCGTCACAGATCTTCCTTGCCATGCTGCACATTCCTGTCTTTGAAGCTTTGAGTCACCTAGCTGTAAGTCTACTCAACTGCAATCTGCAGGCTCCACCCAATCGCTCTTCCTCTGTGCACATGGAATGTAAAAATGAGAGCGGTGTGACCTGCTTTTGGGCTTCCTGATTTGCAATTCAGAGCTGACAAAGCTCCCAGGAAGCTATTCATTTTGGTGCGTGTGTTGTCTTGTGTTTAGTCTACTGCAACAATCGACTGCGTCAAACTCTGCAAAAGGCACCATGTCCATTTATTTGTGTCCGTTCCTTTTTCCTCTTTCTAATTGAGGGTAAAATTGTATTCATATTTTTAAATGTCACACTTCCTTTACACTGCACTACTTATACGCAAACATGAACACCTTCAACCTAATTTAATTATTTTGCTTACAGAAAAAGAGCAGAGAAGAGAGCTGTGGTGAAGGTAGCGGGGTGGAGATCCTAGAGAATAAGCCCTACACAGATGGCCCGGGTGGGGCAGGCCAGTACACCCACAAGGTCTACCACATTGGCATGCACATTCCCAGCTGGTTCCGCTCCATATTGCCCAAAGCAGCCCTGAGAGTTGAAGAGGAGTCCTGGAACGCCTACCCTTACACCCGCACCAGGTAAGGTTTGCTCCTCCACACCTCCACTCCTCTTCAGAGCAGAAGTGAGAGTGCATTACACTTTGCCAAGGCTCTGCAAAATCCTTAAAAAAAATGTATTTTAATAATAGAAATGATGTGTACATGGGTGTCTAATTGCTGCAGCTGGTAGGTGTGCACACATTTAAAGACAGAAATGCAGCCCCTACCTGTTTAGAAGATGGATTATAATTCAAACCCTGCTTGTATTCTGTACATATAAAATGCCGTGAGTGGGATGCCGTGAGTGGGATGATGCCTAGTCTGCTCTACTTGCTGCCCCTTAGTAAAAGCCTAGAGAAAATAAAGATCTCAGAGCAGGTTGAATATTACAGAGCAGAGCATCAGATCGAGGTGTGGCCACCAGCTCTTCCACTCTGTTAGATGCTGATGGCCCCTCATTCTCAGGGTATCGGTGTGTGTGTGTCTGTGTGGTGCCTGACAAACACAGAGACGTGAAGGTGCTGAAAAGAGATGTGGCCTCGACTATACTGTCAGGATATTGATAGACTGCAAGTGCCTGTTGACACATCTATTCAACAAGTGACAGCTTTGCTGCAGACGCCTCAGATGCAACAGATGGGCATGGCTCACACGTCTCCTATCCTCAGCAAAGAGAAGGTGTTGTCACTCTTAATAAAATAGTTCTGATCTTGAGCCCCTCAGTTGAAAAGTAAGTATCTTAATGAAGGCAGATGTCAACACATAATGGACTCTTGCTTTGTTGAGACAGTCTGTTTACTTCATTTTGTTGACTCTTCTCCTTCAGATACACCTGTCCCTTTGTTGAGAAGTTCTCCATTGACATTGAGACCTACTACAAATCCGACACAGGCAACCAAGCAGATGTCTTCAATATGTCTGCAGCAGAGAAGAGGCAGAGGACTATTGGTGAGACAATTAAATACTAATCCCGAAACCATTACAACAACATAAACACAGATATTAAAATATTATTGATGTTTATTAGGCTGATTTTAACTTTCAAGGTCCACCACATAGCAAGCTCAGTATTCATGCAGTCATTATCTACTGTGTAGATATATTTGAGAACCAATAGTGACCTTTTCTTGCTATAGTTATTTAAGGTGACATGTTAGTATTGGCATCTGGTGGAGTCTTTATATCTGTCACATACAGAGCATGTGTGGCCCACTTGTGTGGAAGCCTGTCCACTGACTATGATGCTGCTCTGAAATGAATGGTTTTAGGGCATGCAGTGACCCAGTTACAACATTGATTGTTAATCAGTGACTTTTTGTTATATGTGTTTGTCAGCCTGAAATTCAGTTATGAAAGACACAGAATACGTAACAGCAGCATTCATGCAATACATTTGAAACACCTGGCTCCTTTAGTCATTGTTTTCTGGAATTGAACTGTCTTTGGCAGACCCAATCGACATTGTGACAGATCCCATCCCCCCTCACGAGTACAAAGCAGAGGAAGACACGCGGCTCTACAAGTCAGTCAAGACCCAGAGGGGTCCTCTGCGGGACGACTGGATAGAAGAGTACAACAATAACCCAGGGAAGACCCCCATCATGTGTGCCTACAAACTCTGCAAGGTGGAGTTCCGCTACTGGGGCATGCAGTCTAAGATTGAACGTTTCATCCATGATGTTGGTGAGTATGCAGTTCCAGATGTTGCAGTCTTTCATGTAATGTAGTAGTGTGTTAGCCTGTTATTTAGCCTATGAAACCTTTTTAAAGGTAGGTGTGTAATTGTTTCTCCCTAGGACTGAGAAAGGTGATGGTGCGTGCCCACCGGCAGGCCTGGTGCTGGCAGGATGAGTGGTACGGTCTGACCATGGAGGACATCCGGCAGCTGGAACTGGAAACCCAGCTGGCCCTGGCCACAAAGATGGCCCTGTTCAGTCAGGCAGAGGAGGCCACAGAGGCCAACGGAGGTGCTCCGTCTCCTGACAAAGACCAGGAGGTTAAAGAGGCGATGAACTCCATTGAAGCTGAGGAGGTGGCTGAGGAGGTGACTCTCCAGCCACGAGGTGTACTCACCAAACAGTGGTCCACTTCATCCCGATCCTCCCGCTCATCCAAGAGAGGAGGTGAGGAGCACGCCATCTTCACCTATTCAATTCTGTCATCCCTGTGTATGACAGTGTGTGAGACTGACACTGGTGTGAAAGGTATCACAGGAGCCTACATTCATTATGTATTCACATGGCTCTCCCCTATTCAATTGTTTTACTGTAGCTCTGCACTGTCCTGAGCCTTACCCCTTCCTTCACACACTATCACCTCCTATATTTATACCTCATCGTGCCTTAAAGCCTTATTTGTGCCACCTGGCAAGGTTGAGGTACAAAGTCAAACTGTTCCATAAGTAAATACAGCCAGTTGTGATATTTGAGCCCTGTCCACACTTGAAGCCAGTATGTGAAGAATTCAACAAGGTCAAGCTTGTGCAAAGCCAAAGTGACACTGAATTTTTTTTTCTCCAAGTACAATAATAGCTATATTAGGAGATTTCTACCACCATCAGCCCACATCAGTTCAAGCTGACCACAGCCACAATTCTATGATGAAGCAAACTAAAATAATTTACAGACTGCTTTTCAGGGGTTTAATACTCAAAAGATCTGACTCCGTGGGACTAATTGGTTCATCTCTTCCAAAAGAGATGCAATTTTGTGGTTCAGCTGTACACACTGAAAGAATCAGTCTACTGAAAAGCAGTGGTGTTAATAAAGTCAAACATCTCGGGAGCAGCTTTTTAGCAAGCTTTTGTGCTACAGTTTGCTTTTTGATGTTAATTGAAATGTTTTTACTCTACTTTATTATTTTCACTCATACCCCCAAATTTGCTGTGCTGTCCAACTTACCTTGCCTCGCCCCTACAACTCTGTGGATCTCACCTGGGTTATTTTTAGCAGCAGCTACATCACAAACCACATGTCCGTACACACCCATCTCCAGTGTCACCCCTACCTCAAGGCAGCGCTCACTGTAGCTACTACCTGGACCCTGACTCTCATCCGGAGTGCCCCCCCCCCAGGTTCTCTCCTGGGCTATTTTTAGCAACAGTGCTGACATCACAGACTGGAGGCTGACGCTCTTCGCTGTGACCCTCCCCTCCAACGCTGTTGGCTTCTGTGCACTGACAACTACAGCTGTGCCTCTCTCTCATCAGCTTGCCCCTTAGAGCGATGCCCCCCTCTCTTCCTACGCACTAATGATATATGAGGCATAGACTGGAGACACGTGATAGACAAGGCCTGCTTTTAGTATCACCATTTTCCTCAGCTGGCATTTGGTAGTCGCTGTGCTTGGGCCTCACTTTTCACACACCCCCCTGACCACCAAGCAGTCCATCTGTGATGAAGTAATGCACCACAGAGACTGTTGCATGTTTATTTAACACTGTATGTGTGTGGGCGGGAGAAGATTGTGCAATCTTTCTTTGTCATAGAGTCTGTGTGTGTGTGCGTGTGTTTATGTGTTAAAAGGGGGAAAAGAGAGACTGAAACACATGTCCCAAAATAACAGTGAATTTTTTGTTCATGTGCGGTCTTTCAGTGAGTCCATCACATCACAGCATCTCAGAGTGGAGGATGCAGAGCATAGCGCGAGACTCAGACGACAGCTCGGACGAGGAGTTCTTCGACGCTCATGGTAACCACAGTTTTGATTTTAAATTGGAGTCCCTAGTTAGATCTAGTTAGTAAGATGGATGTGTTTATTGTGTTTTAGTTTCCAAGAACCTGCTTTCTCCCTGCTCCCCTGACTCTGCATGCATCTCTTTAACAACAGATCAGTTCTTAAACTTCCCAGATACCCAGCATGCTTTGGGGCTGCAGTTGAAATAGGTGGGTGTGGTGCGACCCCCGTGCTCTCTGCTGGATGAGTTTGGCCGAGGCCGAGGACATGGGCCAGGTGTCTCATCTTGACGTCTGGTTCAGAAATCACAATCATCTCTGCCCATCAGTCCCCCTCTCACCAACACACTCCAGTTCCTGCATCATCGTTTACTCCATAGACATACAGTCCATGGTTTAGACACACACGATCTTTTACAATTCATGATACATCCCCCAAATCATTCACCAGTATTTGTGTGGTGAAATTGTTTCATGTCATGATGATGAAACGGGAATAAAATTGTGCTGTCATTTATTATTTTGATACTGATTTAGCTACACTCATTAGGTTCCACCTGTTCCAAGTTTAATAAATCTTTGCTCATGTTATTTTGAGTAACTGGAATGCAGTCATTAGACTGAATTGTGTTGGCATCTGAAAATTTCTTTCTTTCAAAAGCAGTTATTAAATTATGTTAAATAAATTTGGTTGGTGCATCGAAATTAACATGAAACACGGTGTTTATGAACCTAAGTGTGTGCTTTGGTGCCTGGGTGAATCACATGACGGTGGTACACAAATTAAATTTGGAAACAGGCTGACTTGGCTCAGATTGCCTTTTGATATTAGATTTCTTAAAAGCTGCTATGTGTCCACGGCCCTCTTGCTGTAATCATTTGTTACAAACACTTGAGTTGCATGTGCAGGCTTATTCTTAACTGTCATGTTCCCCTTTTCTGTGTGGCAGAATTTTTTAGTGCAAATGAATAAAGGAAAGCTTTAGGAGGAGAGCTCATCATAGGTACACATTCAGTGTGTCTGGTTTGCCATGGCATTAAGTAGGGGTTTCAATCCACAAATGATGGTACACACTTGTCTTATACAGCTAGTATTGCAGTATGTGTTCTTCCAAACGGATAATAAAACTAATGCATCTGCTACAATTGCAACTTTCTCTACTCGAACTAGTGTACAACTTGCAAATGAAGCTGGAATAAAATGTTATTTATTGACCTGAATTAGGTAAAGCCTACTGATGAAATAAAGATACCCCTTTACCTTCATACCTTCATTTTTTTTTTTTTACAAGGTTTAAGACTGGGTTATTATACATGTTTATAAATGAAATAAGTTGAACCATCTGAGAAAATAACTTAAAAAGCAATGAAAGAAAAAAGGCACTTGATGGGGAACTGGGTAAAGAACACATCATCTCTTAAACAGAATGACAGAAGGCCTTTATTTGGATGTTGGTCTTACTCTAGTGTGTGTGTGTGTGTGTGTGTGTGTGTGTGTGTGTGTGTGTTTCTGAGACACTGCCTGCAACCTCCTGTTAGTATCCTGTTAGCAATTCACTGAAATAAAATTTCCTTTTCTTCACAATAGTTGTTTTTTATTTGTAGTATAAGTACTATAGAAGTAAATTGAGTTAACATGACATTTATACTTTAAATTTTAGATTTGCTAACGTAAACTGAAGTGCACAGGAGGTGGCTGCCTGTTTCTCAGAAATGAAAATACTGGCAGTATAACAGAAATGTCCCAGGAGAGAAATTATAGGATAAAAAAGGGATATTCTCTTTTAGATCCTGAGCCTTACTTTTTAAACCACAGATGAATGCGATTTAAAGGATGGAAAACAGTCTATTAATACATTTATAATTAATTAATACATTTTATAATGTCAGAAGATACACACTAGTTTATACCTATTTACAGTAGGTAATGGTTTAGTAAATAGAGTTGTTTCTCTTTTTTTGAAAATCCAGTAAAACCAATCCACTTCTTATCCATTATCCAGCACACATGCACTTGCAATTTTAGATTACAAAATAATTGCACTTACACCCATAGATAAACACAAATTTATACTTCAAACATGATATCAACAAGATATCCAGCATGCTATGCATTTGATAACCACCACAGTGAGTGAAAGCTTGACGAGGTTCCTTTACATTGGTCAGCTGTTAAATTATATAATTGAGTATGCAAATGTTACTCATACAGCCTTGTTAATCACTATATATAAATTGGTTATACTGTTGGTGTAACGACAAATTAGTAAACCCTGAATGACACGTGAACTTTAGTTGATCGTGATTTATCTTGTGTCGCCCCTGCAGAGGATTTCTCAGATGGCGAGGAGGTCATCCCAAAGGAAATCACTAAGTGGAACTCCAATGATCTCATAGACAAGATTGAAGCTACAGACACAGAGGAAACTCCTGGTATGATGACGACCGTGAGAATTTTATGATGGAAAGACACGCTGCCTCAGTACTTGATAAGAATGTGTGTGTTTGCAGGTGAGCTGTTCAAGGAAATGACAGTGGATTATGAAAGAACAACCAGTGAGGACAGACTAGATGAGGTATGCGTGCCTGGCACAGTGAGTGTGTATCTACAAAACACAGCCCTAACCAGCCTTCTCTGATGCAGAACCATGTCTGAAATAAATGAATCCTGAAGATCCAGCTACAGAAAATGCCCTGCAGGACCCAGACGCTTCTGTTAAACTTGATTTAATTTTATTAAACAGTCATTTGCATCAGGTTTTACAGTTTGGAAGATAAGAGAAGGGCTGTTTGTCCCTGAGCCTCTCTGTCCTCTTGTGTTCAGATGCGTGGCTCTGTTAGAGGCAAAGCCGATAGCTCTCCCATTCCCACCATCACGGTAACAAGGCACCAGTCAGTAAGTAAACATTTTGGCCCCAGTGCACTGTGGACTACAGTAGCTCCACAGAGACCCCCACCTCCCCTGAACAAACCCAGTACTTACTGGCCCTGCCCTTTTTTCCCTCCATTGCCCAAATCCAAATCCATGTTTATTCCTCAACTTCACCACCCTGTGTTCAACTTCTGTGTACCCTACAGCTGTGGCGTTGAGTGTACATACAGTATAGTGCTTTTTTGAAAATGTTTTGCATCAGACAAAACTGCACGTTATGTCTTTTTTATGTAACTCGTCCTCAGGAAGCCTTGTCGTTGTTTGCTGTTAATTCAGTTGTCCAGGTGAAGTGTAGGTTGGCCCTGTTCTGTTTCCATATGTGGTCCCCCGCCCCTCTCTGGTTATGAAAAGAAGTCTGTACAAACATTTTGTTGTGTGGTCCATGTCTGTAGAGATGGACACAAAAATATGACAAAATACAAATAATTTGATTCACAATATCCAAGGCATTAATGTTTATCTGTGATTTTTCTCACTCAGTAAGCATGTTGTCTTTGGTCATGCTGATAAAAAAGGATGCTTTCATATAGTAAATATGTAATCTCTTCAACATTCCCCAAGAGCTGTTCCTCGTCATCCCCATCCATCACCCTTTTTCAAAAATTTTCTCAGGAGAGCTCGTCCCAGCAGTGCCTGCAGCCTTCCAAAATCCACGTGCTGATCTTGGTTCTTCACGGAGGGAACATCCTGGATACAGGCGGAGGGGACCAGAACAGCAAGCAGGCCGACGTCAACACGATTAGTACAGCTTTTGACACAGTCATGCGTGTTCACTACCCCGCTGCGCTGGGACGCATCGCCATCCGTTTGGTACCTTGCCCTGCCATCTGTGCCGAGGCCTTCTCCCTGGTGTCCAAGTAAGAGGACACGCATACACACAATTATCTGCATGCTGCAAAGCATTGTGAATAATGGTTGAAGGTTACTGTTTATTGACCGTGATTGCTGTTTGCTTTTGACGGATAAGGTTCAAGTGCAGCTCACAACCTCTGTGCACTGCCTTGATCTTTCAAGTATGTTAATGTTGTTAATTTGTGTCTTTTGCACAGCCTGAGCCCATACAGCTACGATGAAGGTTGTCTGTCCAGCAGCCAGGACCACATCCCCCTGGCAGCTCTCCCACTCCTGGCCACCTCTGCTCCACAGTACCAGGAGGCCATGGCCACCGTCATCGTCAAAGCCAACCAGGTGTACGCAGATTTCATAAAGTCTCTGAATGGGGCAGCCTTCACCGGCCAGGTCAGTAACTGTCATGTGAAGTTGTGTGTAATTCTCAGATACCAACCGTTTCGAATTGTCCTAGTAATATAAAGTTTTTTTGTTGCTCTCAAAGATAAATGTACATACTCACAGTAACACAGCTAAGCCCTGTCTTTAATTTAACATGAATTGTTACTTTTTGTAACTAAATATTAAAACATTTAATTGATACTTCACATATACCCATATTACAATTAATGACAACATAAGTAAATGAAAGTTCCTATGTTAACATCCTATTAGTTTTACTTCCTGGAAAACAGCTTTTTTTTTTTATGAACATATTCACTTTGTTTGTGTTCTTGAACTGTGTTGGAGCAGGTGTATAGATGTTTTAGGTAAACCTGAACCGTGTGGATGCGTGTCAAAAATACAATGTTTTCTCAACTTTATGTCTGACCATTGACCTCTTCAGGTATGCCTCATTGGAGACTGTGTGGGAGGAATTTTGGGATTTGATGCCCTGTGCAGTAGCAATCAGACAGTTAATGAAAGCCAGAACAGCAGTCGCAGGGGCAGTGTCGTGAGTGTACAGGTAAGAGTAATTCAGAGTAATGAATACCGTGACACCTGTCAAACAGATTAAATTATATCACAAATTCAATAAGTCCCTTCTGAAAATATACCCAAAAGCTATAATTTATGCAATGTAAAACTTAAGATACATGTACTCTTTCTAAAGTGCTAAAGTGTAAGTTTTCATAACAAATGTTTCTGAATTGCCCTCCACAGGACCAGGATCTCCTCTCTCCTGGTATCATTGTCAACAGTGGGCACGGGTCAGCCTCTTCGACCCTGGAGGGCAGCCGTCACCTCAGTCGCAGTAACATAGACATCCCTCGTGCTGGCGCAGGTGACGACACCAAGAGACAACTGCCACGCAAGAGAAGTGACTCCTCCACCTACGAACTGGACACGATCAAACAACACCAGGCCTTCCTGTCCAGGTGCGTTGGCAAAAATTCTTACCTGGGAGAGAAAAAAAAAAGAACTCAGTCTTGGTTTTATGTCAGATTTATCTTCCACATGAGGACTGACTTTGTGCTGTCCTTCCAGCTTACACTCCAGTGTCTTGCGGAACGACGCAGTCTCACGCAGGTCAAGCAGCAGCACTATGCTGGATGGAGGCTCCGTGGGGAAGTTTGACTTTGAGGTGTCCGACTTTTTCCTGTTTGGCTCTCCCCTTGGTTTGGTACTGGCCCTGAGAAAGACTGTCATTCCTATGCTGGATGGTAAGCTAATTTGGAAAGAAGAATGCAATGCTTGTTATAATGTAATCAGCGATAGAAAACATTGTTTATCTTGTACAGGTAAAAAATGACTTTTACATTTGCAAAAGGTTTATCTCAGGTTACACTAATTAGCATAGGGACGTGTGTTTGTTGTTATCATCATTTAAAAGCTATTAAACCTTGTGTTTTTGAGGGAAGATTTCTAAAGAAAGTTATTGTTTCACAACTATTCCATCCGAGGGAAGGGGTGCTTAGATTCTTCCCTTCTGATCTCTCATGTCTTTGGTTCGATTTCTCCCCCTAGTGGCCCAGCTGCGCCCTGCCTGTCAGCAGGTCTACAACCTGTTCCACCCAGCCGATCCCTCAGCCTCCCGCCTGGAGCCTCTGCTGGAAAGGAAATTTCATCTCCTGCCGCCCTTCAACGTGCCCCGTTACCAACGCTTTCCCCTAGGTGATGGAAACTCTGCGCTACTGGGTGAGCCCTCCGCACTGATCATGTTTAAAAGCACCATTAACATGAATTCAGTAAATATCCAGTCATGAATTACAGTTTAGAAAAATGTACGGATTTCTGACTTGGATTCACATCCACAGACACAAATGGAAAATTCCCTGTAATAAAATGGCTGTTTAATTTCTCCTTTTAACTTAAGATCAGCTGACACTTCAGACACTGAGTGTAACCCACTGCCCTGTTTCCAATAGATGCATGCCGTAGACAACATATATCTTAAAGACATCTTAGTTGCACAATATGAGTTCCTTTACACACAAATTTAACATTGTCTCAAAGAAAAGTGAAACATTTTTCTACTGCTTGTGCTTCAACGTCTTCTGTGAAGCAGTTTATTCATCTAAATGTCGTCATAGTCGTGCTGTTGGTTTCTGTTTGGACTGTTCGTTATAGTGGAGTAACCCTTGGAGCCTCACCCTACCTTCCTTATACAAATATCTGTCGATGTAAGGTAACTAAAAAGCAGATGATTTGATGGTTAAAATACAGTACATACTTTTTGCCATTGAACCAGGGCTTATTAACATTAGAGTTAATATGCTGTTAAAGCGAGGAGATATTTCTTCAGGCCAGCGTTTTCATGTGTCAATCTTAAAAGTGATAGCATTCATCAAATGAGCGGTCACTGAATATGCCTTGACAAATTCAAGATCATGTTAATCATTTTAAGTATTTCAAGTTCAGAAAGTGCAAAATATTTTATGACCTGCAGATTCCAGAGCATTTACAATCTTAGATTCGTGTTATGTGACGATATATGACTGACTAGTAGTTGCGATTCATAAGAAGTGGGCTCAAATAAGGGCTTGACTCTGCTTTCTTGTCTCATGTTCAGTTGTTCTTGCTTCATATGTTTTTGTGTCTTCCTTGTCTTCTTTCCTCCTTCCTCTCTTGGCCTCCTGTCATCATATCTGCCTACGTGGCTCTCCACACCCCACCCCCTGACCTCTGCACCTTCTACCCCTCCACCTCCCCCTGTAGTGGAGACAGTCCAGAGCAACTCTCAGCTGCTACTTGACAGCGGGCCTCCCCTGTCCTTTCGCTGTCAGGAGACCATCAGTGAGACCTGCATCCCTGTGCCTGTGCTAAACTGGCAGGAGGGCTCCCTCAAAGCCACACCCACCACTATGGAGTGTGTGTAGCCTCTCCCATTCACCTGCATCTGTCCCCCATTCACTGTGTTTCTTTTGTCTGTTTGTTCCATACCTATTGCGAGATGCTCAGATTTATAGCTACCATGTGTCCTTTCTGAGTATTCCCATCGCCATTTCTGATAAATCCAGATAAAGAAACACTGATAAACCAGTATATATGCTGCAAATAAATGCATCTAGTCTTTTATCTAAATTACTTGGCCCTTAATTTCCTGTTTTTATTTTAAGAAATAAAAATAATACAAAATTGTTGCCACGGAAATACTTCAAGCATAAATCTGATAAGCATCTCATGTGGTGTTACAGTTTGTGGTTGCCATGACATATTCATGTCACGTTCAATGTTTGGAGGACACAAGAATTTGTGTTTGTGCTGTGGTTTTTGGGTCGGGCTTTGGTGCATCTGCATCATTTCCATAATATCAGATTATTGATGTTGACGGGTTATTTCTACTATCGCCTGAATTTTATAGTTTTGATGTGAAGATTGTCTTGCTTGTGATGTTGTGTTTGCACAGTGTACCGTGCGTGGAGCTCTATCTCAACATCCTAAACAAACTGTTTCCTATGTTTCTCCTTGTGATAATGGTCAGAGGTCATCTGATTTTATAAAATCCCCAGCACTATTTCGTTTTATCTACAAAAACTACGGCCATAACATTATATTACTTTGCTGTTAGATAAAAATCACCTTCATATGAGATACTAACACATGGGTATGACTGTAATAGATGTGGTCATTTGTGATTTTACATTCACTAAGTGTTTTATGTACTCATGTGCCCATGTTTCCACTCGGTCAGTTACAGAAATTTGACCTTGGCCGCCAAGGGGCCGCCTTTGGGTTTCACATGTCCTCTGAAACCCATGGTGCCTGCCATCACATTTCTCTCCTGACACCTAGACCCACATGTCCCTCCCCTCATCACTGTGAGTTCCCCTTACCTGTGTCTCTGTCTAATTGGATCTCCTTGTTTCGACTCAATAGCGGATGTTGTTCAGTCTCATGGTGGTGTCTTCATGGACAGTTCGTACCCCTCATCCCCCGTAACGGGCCCCCTCTCCCGGGGCCAGCGGAGGGCCAGTGAGGTCAGCATTGCCAGCCAGGTCTCAGGAATGGCAGACAGTTACACTGCCACCAACATAGCCAACAGTAAGTGCTCTCAATACAAACAAGCCTCTCTGTCTTCCTTCCACTCACACAAACACTGGTTTAGTTATTCTCTCTCTCTCTCAAAGTCAGACTTTTCTCTATATTTCTCCAACATCATCTTCTCTCCCTCTCTCTCTCTCTCTCGCACTATCACTCCCCCGGTACTCTGACTCTACACTCAACCTGCACTCCAGCTGGAGCAGTCTAGTCAGCCCGATAGACATGAATACCCCGCTCCTTTTTCTACTGCTGCTTATTAGCCAAACTTAACACCTGAAAGTCCCACTATGAGCAAGCAGATTCCTGAAGAAGCGCAAGTTTAGCGCCACTTTTCACTGTCTGTCTTACTCTTATCCACTGTCTAAATGTAAATGCAATGAACGAGTGCTGCATTTATCTAATGTTAGAATGCATGTAGACACCTGCCTCCCTCAGCCATTCCTGCATTGTCTACTCCCTAGCGTAATGTTTGCAGAGATAACCAGTATTCTGTTGTGTTTTATGTGAGATTGTCCCCCCCTTCCCTCTCTATTTCACTTTTGTTACCAGAACATTTATTTGTACCTCACATTACTGTTCTGCATACTGCTACTATAGCACACACAGCACATCCCTGGAGGTGCACATAAACTAATTATGACACTGGAGCATCAGAAGACGTTCAACAGCATCACCCTGCCCTACTGCCTTAAGTGTTACTGAACTAACAATTCTTTTTCAGCTTTGACATTCACAGCTCAGTGTAAGGCAGCTTACTTACGGACTCATCCCAAAGTCACTCTTCAAACTGTTTAAACTGTCATAAACCAACATGCATCCATTTTTCATATGATTTCTTTCTCTTTGTTTTCTCCTCATAGCCAATTCATGCCAAACTAACCAATCAAAAAAGTTTGGCCTTTTGTCCCAACTCGCCCTATCATCGCAAAACAAATTCTTCATGAAAAGTCCCCCAAAATCCCGTAAGACAAGATGTCCTGGTGCAGGTCTAATGGCAGAGCTGGACAATGAGGCAGAGACTAGTGAAGGGCTAAATCCTACTGGCCAATATGAGAACTGCCTGTCACCCGGGCTGGACTGTGCTATATCTGTTCTGGTCTCACTGGACTCTCAAGCTGAAGTGGAGCAAGGTATTTTTCTAAGAGAGGTTTTTCTTTTTTTAAATCAACGTGAGGCTACATGTCTTTACTGTGTCAAAATCCAAAACCTCAATGCTGCTCTTCCAGAAAGCCTCATTTTCCTACTTATATTCTTTCAAAATTTAATTGATAAGGATGCAAGGCTATCACTTCTGTTGATTAGGGAAAATGTATAAATCATAAATTGCCCCTTCTTTTCAAATCCATAATATTAATCATTTTCATGGCCATACTAACATGAATAACCATCTTCGCTCATATAATCATATATTGGATTTAACAATCTTTTTCTTCCTTCTGCATTATTATTTTCCTGTTAATAACATTTATAAACTCCTGATTTCCCTCTTTTTAGCTGAAGAACTGCTGGGATCGGTGATGATTGTGGTTGAAGATTGAAATCGTCTTTTTGCTTTAGCTTCAGGGGTGCTGCACCTTTGTGTGCCATCACATACCTCACGTTCTTTCTCTTAAGGTTTCAACTTATGTATCTGCACATATTCATCAATTCCCATCTCAGTTGCAGCACGTTGGTGGGGCACAAAGCGGCTGGACTTTGCCCTGTACTGCCCCGACGCTCTGACCGCTTTCCCCACAGTGGCTTTACCGCACCTCTTCCACGCATCATACTGGGAGTCCACTGATGTTGTGTCTTTTCTCCTGAGACAGGTGAGTCAGCGCTAGAGTACCTGCCACTCTTTATGGCATGTTACGCTAAAATGTGACCAGCGGGCTGTTAGTCCTCTTCAGCGACACTGAGGATGAGTCATTGAAATGTCTCCTGTAGGTCATGAGGCATGAAAACTCTAGCATCCTGGAGCTCGATGGGAAAGAAGTGTCTGAATTCACCCCCTCCAAACCTCGAGAGAAGTGGCTCCGCAAGAGGACTCATGTGAAGATCAGGGTGGGCGTCAGCTCTATAAAAGCTCCTGAATTCCTTCCTTATGTTGGAGCTTTTTCTTACATATTAAGTGTCATCAAACAAAGGGGGAAACACAAAATTTCAAAATGTATCTTTCTTTTACTCCTTCAACAGAACGTGACTGCCAACCACCGTGTGAATGACGCAGTGTTCACAGAAGACGCCCAGCAGGTCTTGACAGGTCGCTTCATGTACGGCCCTCTGGACATGGTCACTTTGGCCGGGGAGAAGGTGATCTGTCTTTTGTTGTCACAACAGCACACAGACTCATGTCAGTAATGCCTGTGTAATCTGTGCTCATGGTTTTTGTACATCCTGTGCAGGTTGACCTCCACATCATGACCCAGCCTCCATCAGGAGAATGGGTGTACTTCAACACAGAAGTGACCAACAGTAGCGGCCGTGTGTCTTTTGTCATCCCAGAGGACAAACGTCTGGGCATAGGAGTCTACCCAGTCAAAATGGTTGTGAGGTGAGATTAGATTGATATTTTCAGTATGTCCAACTAAGGTTAAAGTCAAGGGCAACTGGACTTGGTTGAAGATACTGGAAGACGTTTCGTCCCTCATCCAAAGGACTTCTTCAGTTCTGACTGACTGGCAGGGAAACTCAGCTATTTAACCTCAGTGGGGTCGTTAGGACTACCGAGGACTACCAGTGGTTCAGTCTTGGCCTCGGGTAGTCCTAACGAATGTAACAACTGTCGCAAAGTTGCCCTTGACTTCGTTTGATAACTATGACTTGGATGACTGAGAATCTTCATAGACATTTTCAGTGTGCCATTTTCCCAGCAGACATTTTGACTTGAGAGAAAGAATGGCTCTGTTCTAGTGTGTCCCAGTAAGCCATGACAGTGAGCCAGCATGCGAAGTGGCAAGACCCTGAAACCAAAGCACCTAAAAAGAGTTCAGCCACTTCTATACTTCTATCTTCCATCTAAAATACACTATATGGACAAAATGATTGGGACACACCTCTTAATAATTGAATTCAGGTGTTTCATTCAGTCCCATTGCCACAGGTATGTAAAATCAAGCACCTAGCCATGCAGTCTGCCTACACAAACATTTGTGAAAGAATGGGACAGAGAGCTCACTGAATCAGAGCATGGTACAGTCATAAGGGTTGTTTTTCCGTGGTTGGCCTACTCTCCTTAGTTCCACTGAAGGGAAATGTTATTGCCTCAGCTTGCCAAGACATTCTGGAAAATTCTATGCTTGCAACTTTGTGGGAACAGTTTGGCGAAGGCCCTTTTCTGTTCTAGCATGACTGTGCCCCAGTGCACAAAGCAAGGTCCATACAGGCATGGTTGGATGAGTTTGGTGTGGAAGAACTTGACTGGTTCACAGAGAGCCCCCACTGCAACCCTGTCGAATACCCATTGGATAAACTAAAACTGAGATTGTGAGTCAGGCCCTCTTGTCCAACATCTGCCTCAGACCTCACAAATGCTCTTCTGGATGAATGGGTAAAAAAATTCCAATAGACAGCCAGATGTGGAAGCTGTTATATCCATATTAATGCCTATGGATTCAGAATGGGCCATAAAAGCTCCGGTAGGTGTAATATGTACTTTTGTCCATATAGTGTATCTTATTTGGCTAATCTAGTTCAAATTATGGACAAATATCATATTCATACATCAAAATAGAAAGGTGCCAAACCCTCAAATACCTTGTTTGTGATTGATTTAGTAAATTATTTTTAATACCTTAAATGTAAAACAAATGAGATCAAAATAACATCTAAAATATGTCTTGTCTAGCCAATATTGTGCTAACATTTCCCCCCAGGATTTGTCGGGATTTAGAGGTTTTGTTGGTCTTGTATTCACGTGCTGCTGTTGTTATGTTGTATAAACGTTCTGTGTCCCCAACATGATAACTCTTTTACATGTTCAACTGTTGTTAGTTAAAAGAATCCTCAAGGGAAAAGTCAAGAGAACATTTTCACTTGGTCTTCGTCTTTCTCCATTTTCTTACTTTCTGTTGTTCTTTTCATTCCCCAGGGGCGACCACACATTTGCAGACAGCTACCTAACAATTATCCCACGTGGCACAGAGTTTGTGGTATTCAGCATCGACGGGTCATTTGCCGCCAGTGTGTCAATCATGGGCAGTGATCCCAAAGTGCGGGCAGGAGCAGTTGATGTTGTCAGGTATCTAGCTGCTCTTCTTTTTCTGTTTTCTTGGATTTAAAACAAGAGTCTTTTTCAGGCTGCAGCATGTTTGCATGTGCCATTGTTATTTATTTCTTAAATCTGTTCTTCTGATCCTCCACATTGCAGGCACTGGCAGGATTTGGGCTATTTGATCATCTATGTGACAGGACGACCAGACATGCAGAAGCAGCGGGTAGTTGCTTGGTTGTCTCAACACAACTTCCCTCATGGCATTGTCTGCTTCTGTGACGGCCTGGTCCACGACCCACTCAGACACAAGGCCAACTTCCTCAAGACCCTGACCGAGGTCAGACTGGGAGGAAGGGAGGATTGGGGGTGGGGGGGGGCAGTTTTATATGTACCGCAGTTTGTGTATGTGTAGTTGTAAGCTTTGTGGAATTAATAAGGAATGTATTTTTAGAAGAAAACAAAAGCTACAGTGCTGCAATTGTATTATCATTATTAACTCAGTTTTTTAGAAAAATACACAGTGCCAAACAGCGCTCTTGTTCATTTGACTGATTGTAGGCTCACATGAAGATTTTCGCCGGCTATGGATCAACCAAAGACATCTCAGTCTACACCTCCATTGGCCTCCCCTCCTCCCAAATATTCATTGTCGGCAGACCCTCTAAGAAGATGCAGCACCAGTGCCAGGTACAGTTTGATTTTTTTTTTTTTTACGCATAACTTCAGGAATTGATCTTGTTTTTCAAATTAATATCCCTTTTACTTATTTAAAGGACTCTAAAGTAAATACCCAAACCCTGATGAGAATGATTTACACTGGCTGGGTCTAATACTGTCACTCTAATGAATAACTAATTTAACTGAATGAAAAAATATTAATTAACTGAACCAGAATCTCAGATTCTTTGTTGCTGACAGTGTGGCTCTGCTCTGGTCCTCTCTCAACAGTTCATAACAGAGGGATATGCGGCTCATTTGTCCCAGTTGGAATACAACCACCGTTCTCGGCCGGCTAAGTCCAGCACTGCACGGATGGTGCTACGTAAAGGCAGCTTCGGCTTGGGTGCGAACAGTGACTTCCTGAGGAAAAGGAACCACCTGCTGCGCACCATCTCCTCCCAACCAGCCCCCAGCTCCCCAACAGGCAGCATACACAACAGGCCAGAACGCACGCAGAGCCAATCAGATGGTGAGCGGCTGGAGTGCGCTCACAGCTACAGCCAGGGAGCAGCACAGCGCAGCATGAGCATCACAGCCAGCTGCTGGGGCCGCAGCAGCAGCACCAAGCTGGAACCAGGCGTTCTCAGCCCCAAATGAGAATAGGGAGACAATGTCACTTGAAAAGACAGTGCTGAGGAAGAGACTCTTGACAAAGATAAATGAAACAGTTGGCTTGCACCTGATGGGTAAATACCACAATGAAAATAACAGGTGCTACTAACCACTCTTTATAAAACAAACGCCAGTCTCACTCAACACATTTATGGACAGAAGCTCTGGCTATATTTATTATAAAACAGACACACACAACTCAACAGGCATTTCAAGAAGCATCTTCCTGAAACAGGAACATGCATATAAATAGATATAGCTTATACTGAAGGAATCCAGACTGTTTCTACTGTTTAGTAAATATTTATCAGCCTTGAATACAAGGTTTCCTCCTACAACAGGCTTTTAGATTGGAGATGGGTACACATACAAGCAACCCCATGCTGTATACAAACAACACAAAGTGGTTACAGACAGCCTGTATCAGGTCCAAGTGCTGATACTGCACTGTAACTGACTACTGTTGCTACTGCAAGCACAATTACTATAGAGAGCAACTTTGTGTCTAATAGTTTTAAAGCTATGTCCTTTTTATGTGATAAAATCTGATATGTTCACGTCTGGGAGCAGAGCTGAGAATCAGGTAAAACTGGATTGAATGTATTTCTTTTCTCGGTGTGACCAAACAAACATGAACGTTTACCCAAAATGTTTGTTCGAATTTTTTAGGAAAAGCATAATTTCTCAACTTTTTTTTTAAATGTGTCATTCGGTAGGCCAACTTGAAATTATTTGATCAAGAGGTACTTCTATAGCATGTACAAACAGCATTTACTAAAAAACGTTTCACCAAACCATTACAGTCCAGTTTTGCTTGTTTTCTAGTCGTCCCTCAGACCAAAGAACCATCCAAATGTCGCATGAAGCAAACTGCGAAATTACCCTTTAATTATGGTTGCAGCTTCCTGGGTTTTTATAGCATTTCATTACATCTCACCATACTGCACCTACTGTACCTTCTTGAATCTGTAATGTATGACCCAGCTAAAGGGAAAACTCCTACTGTATGGTTAATGTGCCAAAGTAAACAGTATAGAATGATATACTGTACATGAACAGAGAAGAAATGCTGACGGTCTCCTGTGTAAAAATGGAACAGATTGTGCAGTTTGTAGTTGAATGCCTTCACAAGGCATTGTACATAATTGTTATATTACAGTGCAGATCTGGTATCTGGTCCACTGAAGACCAGTTTCAAGTGTCTTCTTTACTCCACCTCATTCAGGATACACTTTATTGATTGATCATGATAATTATTGCTATTTAAGATGATAGATATTTTAAAATGTATTGATTTTGTGAACAAAATGTGTTTTAAAATTACTTTAGCTGTGTTTTTTTCTCCTTCAAACTTCAGTTGCAGCAGCCAAAACTCAAAAGAGGTATTTGCCTGGCACAGTATTGTATTTTTATTATTTTATCTTGCAGATCACCAGAATTGTATCAAGAGAACTGCTATCTTGTGTCATATATTGTACGTTTTGTTATTATCTATTTTGGAAATTTGGGATATGGCTTCATTCTGGTTATCTCTAAGCTGTAAATGAGGCGTTGAATGTGCTCATAGATAATCCTCCTTAGGTTAAAGGCTCTTTTCTCTGTTCTGCTGCTCCTTTAGAGGGAGAATAATCTGCAAATTGTAAATTCTGTACAATATGCTGTCAGAAGTAGGAACACGGAGCTAAGACTTGCTTTATGCTGTTCGCAATTTATTTCTGAAATGGGTAAAAATGTGTGATTTATTCATTCAAAGGATGTTTATTTGTCCCTCTACTAGGCATGTACAGTATACAGATGAGTGCAATGGACCAATATGGACTAAAATGTAATGGGAAGAGTGCAATATTACACAACCACACCACAAGATCAAACAGACTGTTGAGGGAATGTCACAGTGCGTTGACAATCAGTTCAACACGCACACATTCTACAGATGTCAAATTGCAGGGGGAATCTGAACACATCTTAGCACTTAGCACAGGCATACATGCAACATTTGTAGTCCATTTTTAAAAAAGTAGAGAGTTTTCACAAGAAAGTGCCATCGACTTGATAATGGTGTGGAATATTACAGTAGGGTTTCTCCTGTGGTCTCCTCCTTAACTTTCTTTGATGTTAACATTCCAGCACATACAGGATAAAGTCACTTACATTTAGTGACCCAGAAATCAGCTGCAAGTTTATTAGGTCCACCTCTCTAAAAACAAATAATGCAGACGTGCAACACATTCACCTTTTGTGAAGGTTATAATGTTCAGTTTTAGTTTCAACTGTTTTACAGAGGTTTAACTTGATGGTCATTTTCGAGGCTTTAATCTGTGGTACTGTAGAATTGTACTGTGTAATACTGGGAGGTGTTTTTAATATTTTGTTCACCCCTTTTGTATAGATGGGGGTAGACTTCATTCTAGATAACCGAGTGTACATCCCAATGCATAAGTACCCGTAACCTTCTTACCTTCTTAACTTCAGTACTGTTTCCAGCTATTCTGGTGAAGAAAGGTGTAATTACATACTTTACTACTGTCCCTCTGCATTTTGACCATTTCAGAGATTCATCTTGAAGCCATATATACAACTCTTTCAAAAGCTGCTGATTAAAGAATGGCTGACTGTGTATTGATAATAAATACAAAAAAAGTACAGGGAACGCTGGAAAACATGCATTCAACTAAAGTTGGCACCTACTCAACCATATTCCTGTCCTCAGAGATCTGAATCGCTTTGATATTAAAATCCAGAGAATATAAAGAAGTAGCAGCAAGTTATCTGTGAAGTTTGGATACCTCTGGGCAGACAATCGCTTTGATTCTGCTACTGACACACGCATTACCAGAGGCCTTACATTTCCCTTTTCTGCCTTACATTGAGCATTGTGTTGCGAGGCCTAAAAGAATGCTGCTCACTCCCGAATTGACTTAACGGAAAAAGATAAGACTGTTTATGTAGACTTTACTTTGTGGAAATAGGAAAAGGCCATATTTTCTTAAAAGGCTTTGGCTTGTTTTCACTTTAAAGGAAATGTGAAAGGAGAAATCTATTTGACATATTTCACCAAAATTAGGCAATCCATCACTGTCTCTAGCTCTGTTCCCTGGGTTAATGCAATGCCACAACTGTTACGCCAACAGTTAACGTTCATAGGCTGTATATACACACACAAACAACATACCTTGGTAAATATTTTCATTGTACAGCGTGTGTATCTTGTAGGTTTGGATAACTTCATTTTATCCATTCCCTTGTGTTTTTATGTACAGTGTATAAAGAACATATAAAGAACTACTAAGTAATTTTGGCCTTTTTTCACATGGTTCAGCTCAACGACAAGGATAGTCTCTTCAGAGAACGGGGATTATTCAAATGTAGGAGAATTCATGGCAGTTTACTTGAATGCAGATTTATTCAGAGAACCAAAAAGAAACAAAATGTGAGATGTAAAGGTGGGAAGACATTGATGTGAGTGGGTGTAGAGTACGTAGCCAAACTAAAAAAAATGTTTGCAGAAGTAGGATACTGAACAGTTGTATCTCTTCTTCATATCGTTGTACAAAAACTGACTTGCAGTGCATTCAGGAAAATAATTATAAAATAATGATTTACAAAATAAATCAGCGTAAACGTACATCGTATGTGCAAACTATTTGGGACATCTTCCTCACATAGGTCTTTTTTTGCAGAGGTCAGTTGACTCAAAACATTCAAGTGGCTCACTAACTCATCTGCTTCTTTTTATATCTCCTCTGTTATCAGCATAGATTTAATAAGGCAAATCAATAGGAGATACTGGTTTTGACCTGGATTAAAATCATTAGTGTACATCAAAAGTACATGCCCTGATAATTCTGTACCTTCACCCCCATACGGTTAAATCACAGGCAACTGTTCATTATATCATCATATAAAATTCAGCTTATTGCAGCAGATCACAGCATCTTCTACTTGTTGATTCCCAGTTTCCTCTGGAAAGCATTCCCATCTCCCTTGGTGGCTTGCTATGGGATGAATGGAAGTTCGCTGTTAGATAAAAGGGAAACTCTTATGTTTTATTTCACAAAGTTCTAACCGAAACTTTCTCCTGTACCTTGTTGATGTCTTTGTGTTTTTCTCGACTGACTATCTCCTCTATGATCTCTCCTTCTCCTCTCACCAATCTGGAAACAAACACACAGACGTTAGCATTTTTAGCATAAAAAATCCTGAGCTGTAGAGCTCATTATACAACAGTTTGTTAGTAAATTTGTGTAAAAGCCTGTGTGTGCACCTTACAGTAGCAACCACCTAAAATGTTATAGCGCTTCTGAGAAGGAAGTAGAGTGTTTGATCATCCTGTGAATGTTAACTGCTCTTTTACACTCACCTGTTGTAGATTGTAAACTAGTAGCATTTACTCTGTAGCTCTGGCTTACCTGGTGCGTCCTGTTTCTGGGTCCACCACCCTGCGGATCACGCTCTGCCTGGCCTCGTACTCCTCTTTGGTGAGGGGCCTCTTAGTGGAGAGTCGGGCCTTCTGTTCATCGGTCATCACTGCAGAGGAAAAGAGGGTACAATGCACATAATATGATTTGTATGCTTTGGGAAATTTCTGACCAACAATGGTTAATTCTTGTTTTGAAATATGTGGTTGTGTGGTATTAGGTCACTGCGGCCAATATTGGAAATACATTTTTGTCTGAAAGTATGTTAAATGTTCAGGGATTTAATTTGCTCAATTAGCCAAAAACAGACATTACTCTCTGGTTATATTATTTGTCAACAGTTTCTCTATTGAATTCCCAAAGATTTCTATCTCATGATGTACAGTCAGTGGTCCATTAATTAGGTACACCTGTACAACCTAAAGCAGTCCGAGACAACAGCTCAGCCATAACAAATATCTTTACGAATCTGATAAATATTCAGCTTGTTTACATTTTTTGAAATGTGGAAATGCAATGTTTATTACTGAGGTCATAGTTAAAGGTGGTTTTGTATTGGACTACATTATACTGAAGTTTTTTATTCTTTCCCTTTTTACAAACATGATAAGGGAGGGATATTAGAAACACCTCTGAATATAATGGAGTCCCGTACAACATCATCACTAATGCCTCCATGACAGTGTCAACAAAAACTGAACATTATAAGCATAATAAAAGTTGACTTTACTGCAAAACTGTTGTATTGGTTTGCATTAGACTGTACAGGTGTACCTAATAAAATGGATGTGTTTATTGATACTGTGATATTCTGTACAAGTCCATATACCATGAACAGTCTTTGATCTGTTCTATCAGCAACTATTATTTTAATTATTAATAAATCGTTTAGACTTGAAAATGTCCGGGGAATGTCTTAGGTTTTAGGAAAACCGAAGGAGTCCAAAACTCATTGAAATTCAATTTATAGTGATATAAAACAGAGAAAAGAAGCACAGGGAGAAGCCAGAAAGTTTGTTATTTTTGCCTAATTACTTCTTCTTCTACCTCATTTAAAAAACAGCCAATGGTGTATTCAAATGTGTGATACTGTAAAATTACAAAGACATAAGTAATGTTATGACCCACCAGGCCCGAGCTCCACTGCCCCCTCATCACTCTGCCACACCTCCAGGAAAGATGGAGGTTTCTCTGCTGCTGGAGGACTGGACAACGCCACCCCTGCTTTCTTCTTCTCCTTCTTCTTCAGCTTCTCTTTCTTCTTCTTTTCCTTTTTCCTCTGTTTCTTCAGCTTCGCCTTTTTCTTCTTGGGCTTCTTTTTCTTGGCTTTGCTTTTCCTCCTCTTTGTCTTCTCATCGCTCGACGAGGATGAAGACGACGATGATGAAGAGGTGGACGAAGAAGAAGAAGAGGAGCTTCTTCTGCGCTTCTTCCTTTGTGTTTTCACATCTGAGGGAGAAACAGAGAAGGTGTTCTTTGATAATAAGACTTCCGTTGGTTTCAAAGCGTGCTAATTTAATTTTTAAACTCCCAACCTCGACTCTTGTACGATGCTTTCTTTGATCTGCTTCGACTCCGGCTGCTGGAGGAGGAAGACGATGACGATGAAGAAGAAGAGGAGCGTCTCCGTTTCTTCTTCTTCTCGTGTTTTTTCTCTCTGCCAGCTCTGTCAGCTGATCTGCTGCGATCCATCACAGAGGCAACAAATCGAGGGTAAACACACCTGGCTGGAGATCATATAAACGGAGCCAGTGTGTTGCTGCAGCCATAGAAGTCGTTTACGGAAGTGCGGTCGTCTTCAAATCCCTTCCGTCTGCGGCGGGAAAGACATTAGTAAGGTTCCTAGTTCCTACTTTAGTTCAGTGGTTTGGGGGAGTTCCAGGGGGACCCCAGCAAAAAGGGGATTTTTTTCACTATGATTTCATTCATAAGTAACACAATGACAGAATTATGACTATTTCTGTAAAAAAACATCTAAAAGCCAAAATCCTATCAGATCGGCGATCCTTGAACAAAAGCTTATTAAATGGGGGTCCTTGGTCTAAATTGTGCCAGTTTAGGGATCCTTGACGTGAAATCGTTTGAGAACCACTGCTTTAGTCACCCAACATATGAACACGTTTTCAAGATGCCCAGTGGAGTAACTAAGTACGTATACTCAAGTATTGTACAATTATGAGGTACTGAGTATATTCCATTTTCTACTAATTTATACATCTATTTCTACATTCAAGAGCCAAACATTCTCCACTACATTTATTTTTATTTTATTTTAGTAAGTAGTTACTTTGCAAATTCAGATTAATAATACAAAATATAATCAACCAGTAAGTTATGATGTATTATTGTAGGTTAAGATAAGACTATTGACTACTACTAAGACTACTATCCCTTGGTGTAATTTACAAGCTACCCAGCAGCGTACATATAGTAGAACCAGCAGAACCACGCTTATTAGCTGCAGCATTAAGGTCATATACATGTTAATGTATTTGTTAATTAAATAATATAATATACCTTCTTCTGAAATGGGCCATTCTGCATAATGAATATTTTTACTTTTTGTTCTTTAAGTATGTTTTTAATGCTGAAACTTTATGATGCAAGTATTGCTACTTAAGTAACATTTTGAATGCATGACTTACACTGTGTATTTATACACTGTGGTAAAGCTACTATTATTTAACTAAAATATCTACTTACTTCACTACTGGTTACCACTTAGATTTTTTTTTATCAAGGGTAAGAAGTAAAGTACTCAGAATTACTTAATAAAAGTATCAATACAATTGTGTACATTTACTTTGTTACACGTAATAATTTTGTAAATGTACACTACAAATGAAAGTACAGAAGTATTATCAGAAAAGTGTGAAAAGTAAACATACTCATGCGGAATGGCCTCTTTATGAGTGTTATCTCATTGGATTATTATTACAGATGCATTAACATGTAGGCAGCATTTTATTGTTGAGGTCATAAGAAGAAAAAGGACAAAAGCATTTGTTATTTTTTATGTCTTTTTATTTTAATGATATGATTTGTAAAATACTGGATACTTTCATTTCTTAAATCCTTAAACTTATACAATGTGATAAGGAACTCTTTCATTCACCACACTTGCTTTGTTTAAAGGGATCTCAAACAGCAATGTTACCTTACCAGCCCATTTGGTTGTTTTGTATGCAAAATACATAACATATAAAGATGTCCCCTTAATCTTCCTTCTGCTTTTAATATCTTCAATTAGGCAAGGAAAGTCAAATTCAGCACACTGCACAGGCCCATCCAATGTATTTAATCTCATGTAGAGATCCAAAGAAAAACCTGTGAACTCAATGACCCCACACAAACCACACCACCTGGTGCCCCCAATAGGTCCTCCCTAAAAACCTGCGATACCTCCCATAGCACCGAAAGAAAAAAATGAAAGGAAGAAAAATAATTTTAGGGGCCAGCTCAGCTACTTATCATCAGGTTGAATGAGGACAACATTAAGATAACCTTAAAAAAAGGCCACCAGGTCTTATCAACAAATTACATAAAGTCTGTGGGAGAATCTGACCCTTTGTGTGTGAAGGGTTTTTCAGGTCACATTGATCATTGAGTATTGTTGTCCCAGTCTCTTGCTCCCGTGTCATGTAAAGTTGGGTCAGTGAGTTAAAGGAATGGCAAGATATAAATGTGGAGAATGTTTTTTTAAAGAGGTGTAAAGAGAAAGTGAGTTGTGATATTGGTGTAAAATAAAACGCCTGGTATGAAGAAAGTATAAAAAGTGAGACCCAGAACGTTCATATCTGGCTGAGAGACTCCAGACTCAGATCTGTGGTGGTTACGATGTCTTTGTCATGCCAAATACAGAAAGTTGGATGAGAGGGTGAAGACAGGAATAAGTGGTTATTTAATATCGCTGCTAAGAGGCAGTTTCCTTTTAATGATACTGCCTGAGAAGTGAGTTATATTTGGAACAAGCGCATTAACGTGAATCTGATACTGTAATGAGAGTACAAAATCGTGGTCAGTGTTCTTCACTGTAAAGGAAGAGACCATCTGTGTACAGAAAGCACCAATGTGAGAACATATTCTTAATATTTATTTAAACGTTTTTACAAAAGGCAATTGTGAATCTTTAAAGCTTGTATATTGATAAACACACTTGTTCCTGATGACGTTAGCCCTCACGTTAGGCTCACTTGCTCTGCATTAACTGCTTACTAGCTTCGAGTGAAATATTCTACTTCCATTTATTGTTTAAATAGTCTGTCACTGTAAGTAATAAATAAAACAATCTTTCAAGATTCCTTAAAACTCCAAAACTCCACAGAAATACATCACAAATGATAAATACTTTAAAAACCCTGTTACATTAAACACGCAGCTGCATGAGTGAATGTAACAGTCTCAAATGGCTGGACTGGCTGGGCTGTCAGCGGGAAGAGAGCCTTAAAGCTATCATCTTTCCAGTCCGTGTGCAAAGGGAGCTCGTCGGGTCGCTCCAAGTAAAAAATGATTGGGGTGGCGGTGTTGAAGGGGCTGGAATGTGTCACTGTTGCTTTTCTTCGGCCCATTAGGACGCAGCTGCCATGCGGACCCTCTCTGGGGGGAACAGCAGAACGTTCTTCGCTGCTTTGATAGTGTTCTTCATGAGCATTGCCACAGTCATGGGTCCCACACCTCCAGGTACTGGTGTGATGAAGCCTGCCTTCTGCCTCACGCCTGAGTATAGACAGAAAAAGGAACAACGTTACAGAAACCAAAGACACCAAGGACGTCCATGCAGAAACATACAGTCGTGCTCGCCGTCCACCCTTACCTTCAAAATCCACATCCCCAACCAGTCTGCTCTTTCCAGTGACTGGGTCCTGCACTCTGTTAATTCCGACGTCAATCACCGCGGCTCCCTCTTTGATCATGTCGGCGGTAATGAGGTTTGGAATCCCTGATAGTTCAGTTAACACATACACAGTACAGTTAGACAACAGGAAATAAATATCTGCTAAAGAAACACCAGATGTAAACAGGTCAGTCATGGTCAGATACAGGAAAACAAGTAGTGACACAAACCTGCAGCAGCCACGATGATATCAGCGATTTTAGTGTGTTGGCGAAGTTGCTCCTTTGGAGTGTAACGGTGAGAAATGGTGACCGTGGCGTCACCTGCAACAAAAATAACTTTTAGTACTTATATCATATACTTAAACCCTCTTGTCTTTAAACACACAGATAAACCCACATGCACTATAACCAACCTCCAGGCCTCTCATGACGGCCGTCTGTATGCAGTAACATGGCGATGGGCATGCCCACATTCTTGGAGCGTCCTGCGACCACAACATTCTTCCCAAGAGTAGGAATACCTGGAAGACGAGGATCCGGATAGTTAGTTTAGATGGTTTGTTGAGCAGCATTTCAGCCCCAAGAGGAAGCAAGTGGTCACTCCTGTTACCTGTGCGTTTAATAATTTCCCAGACTCCCCAGGGGGTGGCAGGAAGCATGGTGGACTGATCCAGGCACATGCGACCCACATTGACTACGTGGAAGCCGTCCACGTCCTTCGCAGGGGAAACAGCGTTACAGATTGTGCGCTCATCAATGTGGTCTGTCAGAAAACAAAAGACAAGTTGCAGTCAAGGACAACTAGATCTCAAAGGTTTGGTTCAAGGTTTCAAAAGCAACTTATTTAAGCATATGTAGGTGTTTCGCCTTTACCAATAAAAGAAAATCCTAACAGTGAGAGTGTGCAGGTTGTGTATAATATATATATATATATATATATATATATATATATATATATATATATATATATATATATATATATATATATATAAATAATATAATGTGCTGCCAACACACCCTGACTGATACTTGCACTTGGTTGTCATATCAGCAATGTCACACACACATACCATGGCACAAAGCAGCCACTGCACCAATGTATGATTCTCTAAACTCATCATCAAACTTTATATTGCACTATTCTAGTTTCTCTGTACCTGGCAAAGGCAGCTGGACCAGCAGGCCGTCCACACAATGGTCTGTGTTGAGTTTGTAGATCAGGTCCAATAACTCCTCCTCACTGATGTCTGAATGCTTGAGAATTGTCTCACTAGAGATTCCTGTGGGAGGATGAAGTGAAAAACAACTAAAATCACAGGCCAGCATTTGCTCTTTAGTTATTTTATCGTAGAACAATTGTGTTTACACGTACGTAAGAGGACTGTGGGTGTTTTTTCTTACCGACATCAGCTGCAGCTCGAGTCTTATTCAGGACGTAGGAGTGACTGGCTGGGTTGTCTCCTACCAGAACCACACTCAGATGGGGTCTCCTGTGGCCAGCCGAAACCCATTTCTCCACGTCGACCCGGGCCTCCTCCCGAATCTGCCGTGCTAGTTTCTTTCCTGAGATGACCACCGCCTCCTGTCTGAGAGTTGGCAAGTAAAAACAACGGAGTCAGAAGGCAAACAGTCAACAACTTACATTTTAACAAGCTGTGATTCTGCTGTTATTCAGACAAAAAAATTAAGTAAATTTGTCACTCAATCTAGTGCAATTAACTATTTTATTCACTATTAATTATTGTTTCAATAAATTACATACTTGTTTAGTACATATGTCAAAATTGATAACAAGTGTCCAACACAAGTGAGCTTTATTGAAAATTGTCTTATTTAATATGATCCCATGTTACAAAAAAGTAATTAAAACTATATAAAGAAAGTAAACTAGGATAATAATTTGACATTCTTTATGAATAATCTTTACTGTACTAATGCAAACCCTTTCTACTGGACATGGTTTCTTCGATTGCCATTAAACAGGGCTCAGTTTTGTCACCAGAAACCTGTAATCAATCTCAACCATTCAGCCTGGACAAGCACCAATTCAAGCCTCTAAAATTAGACACAGCATGTCTCCACCTGCCGGTGCCATATGCTATATAAGTGTTACAGTATTTTAAATCTCAGAGATGGTGTAAATTGGTAGAACTCAAAGGAGGGCAGCTTTATCCGAGCCAAGTCCAGTTAGAGGCATCTGATGGTCAAAACTGAAAACCCGAACGGGGTTGAACTTTCCTGCTGCTTTGTCCAAACTTCAAAAGCGGCAAAACGGTTATCCATTATATAACAACAGATAATTGTAACTAATAACTGAGGAGTAATGAGCCATCCACAGTGATGTAACTTCCCTTTTACCCTGCCAAAACTAATTAAACCTCACAGAAAAGTATTACATCTTTGGGCAAAATGGGGGTGGGGCCATGGAGCAAGAGTACCAGGTCCCAGAGAAAAGGTGTCAAGATTACAGGGCAGCAAACTGCTTTTCAACCTCATACAAGTTTAAATACAAAGCCGGTCTACTGAAGAGGAAACCCCTCTTTTCAAATGTATGGCCGCATAGCCATGTTGAATAGCCCCTGTTAAGTGAGACCTACCTCAGAGAGTTGTCTTTTTATACTCTTTGGTTCACGTTACTTCACGTTAATTGCCTGTAGAGTATATGTGTAAGAAAATGTTTTATGTAAATAAAAGAGCCTTGCTGTTGTCTCAAAATAATATGATTCTACGAGATCTAATGTATGAAGAATTTAAAGTTGTATCTATGTTGTGATATATAGCAATAACTAATGCATTGCATAGGTTTCAAATTATTTATCATGTGCCTCTGGAGCTGCAGATCATGAGCAGGGGCCACACGAGGTTTGAATTGTTAAGGCATGTGTGCAACATTAGTTCATTACATCTATCTCAGTCATGCTGCACTCAGCAGGTTTCAAATCAATAACATTACCTGCACAGGCTGCTAATTTCCCATCTGTATGATGGCATGTCCTCCCGGAGACAATTTACCATCAGTTATTTCTGCTATTTAAAATGATTGCTTGTTCCAGGACACAATGGCCTTAATGCATATGCATCTCTCCTCATTGTGTGCATCAGACCCACACCCCGGTCTCCAGCTGAAACCTGGCTCCTGAAGCCAAAGGGTGCAAGCACTCAGACCGATTTCATCAGCCAGCCTGTCCCTGCAATGTTACCGGCATGACACTAGGGGCGCACCAAAATTTGACTAACAGCGGACATTTAGCTCAAATAATGAAAAAACGCACGACCTGATCCATGTACACACAACATGTACAGAAGACCGGCCAATAAATAAATGTATTAAAGTGACGGATCTTAACATTTTGGACAGAAGGGCGCCGAACATGTAGTAAAAGTGGTGTTAAAGGTAACCCAAACTAAACCAGGTTTCAGAGCTGGTGTTCGCACTCACCTCGAGGCGGACAGGTGCAGTTTACAGACTTGATGCTGGGAGTGTTGGCACAGTTTCCTGAGAGTCCTGACCGCTGCCATTCTGACCGGCTGAGAGGAGAAGAGACACCACGGCTCGTTACGAAACACAGCACCGCCACAGGGCTGACAGAGCGATGAGTCTGTGAAGGAGGAAGAGGGGCAGACCTTAAAGCCCTTCCCCCTTTACGCATGGTCCCTGCGTCACAGTTATCTGCTGCCACGCCTCTAAAGCAAAGATAATACTGTTTCCAGCGAAATCAGCTGTGCCCAAAGGAGGAAGGAAGATCTGAGTCAAATAACAAAAGTACATTTTCATTTAATATTCTATCAGTTGTAAAAAAACAAAAAGTAAAATGTATTTTAAATGTTATCAGCTTAAAATACTTTAATAAAGTAAAACTAGTTATTGTGCAGACAGTAACATTTTCATTTTTTAAGTAACGTTACTTGTAAAAATAAATGCAGAGGTATAAAAAGAACAATATATCTCTCTTAAATGTATCTTACTAGTAGTGAAGTTTAGGTCGATTAAATTGAAATGCTCAAGTAAAGTACAAATCAGAATTGTATTGTACAATGAGTACAAGTACTTAATTGTTTGGAGATACTAAGAATCTGAGAATTATTCAGATATTTTACTTAAGCATAAGTACAGAAATACTGTCAGCAAAATATACTTGAAGTGTCAAAAGTAAAAACATTCAGGTTCAAAACTTCAGTCTTAGACACCCGTTACTTTTACTGGCCTGGTGTGGCCACACGTTTTGACACATAAAGGCACGTCTCAATTAGAAGCCTGGTCTGGTTTTTAGGGAAGTTCTTTGTATGTATAAAACCCCTTAAAGCCCACTGGGTCACCTCCTTGAGCTAGTTCTAAGATGCTTAGATTGTGCATACCAATATAAACGTTTAAACTTTTGTCTATGTGGACATGCTATATCTTTAGATCAGTTAGATTCTCCACAATTCAATTGTTTAGTTCATTTTAAGGAAACAATGCAACAAGCACGAAAGTGCTATTCATTCAGATTTACCAGCATAGTAAGGAAGACACCTGTCCCAAATATAAGCAGCGGGAGTTCACTGATTTAAGCAAATAAAAACCTGGGCTATTAATGGAAGTTTTAAGGGTATTTATCCATAGAGTTGCTCCCAGTCTATGAATAGATTTGGGCTCAGAAGCACTTACATCAAAAATTCTGTTTTTTGTTGCAAGAATACATATTACAACGGTGGTTTCAGTATGAAAAAAATGTGTGTCTGAATGTTCCTAGATTAAATTAGCTAAATGGTATATTGTCTGACCCAAAATTATAGATTTAGTTACAGCCCCATGTGGAGAGTTGTAGTAGCGACATGCTGCCGGCAGGGGGCGACAGTCTGCCCATCGGGCTGCTACAGAGAGCCGATAGAGGAAGAGCCACTCTGGGTGCAGTTCATGTTAGCCTAAGTGTTAGCAGGCATCGCTGAGAAGCGGTTCCAAGTGTCTGGTTTTAAGACTAATTTCTGTCCGCTAAACCAGAGTTAGGAGTTGTAATCGAGGCTCTCCGACGACTGCTCCGCCAAGATGAGCTTCCTGTTGTAAGTAAAGTTAGCTGTCGCTTGCTGAGTTTCAGCCCGAGCTTGCGGTTAACGTTAGCTACGCTTCTACGAAGTTCCTCCAAGGGAAGGAACTGGTGTCAAAAATAAGACACCGTTACAGAAAACAAACCAGCTAAATAACTGCACTGTAGTCCACTTAAACTGCATTTTCTTACATATGGTTATCATTCGTCGACGTAAAATTATCTGTGAGCTGTGTTTATTTTTAGGTTCCCAGCTCTCGACAACTACAACTTTTTTTTTTTTACAATGTTGTAACTTTGCTATCCTGGTGATTCACTGCAAGATTTTCACGTTTCAATGTAGTTATTCAGATAAGACTAGACATGTATTAGTAATAATCCACAGCTTTGCTATCCGACGTTGCTAAAACGTCGAGCAATGTAATTAAGTGTTGCGTTGTTTACAGTGACCGTGTGATACGGTCGCATTTCCTGTCTGTTGCACCAAGTTTACATTACACAGATTGCACATTCATGCGTCTGTCACGCTGAAAACCAGCCAAAACATGGTACCATGACGGATGTGTCAGCGAGTATCGCTTGAGCATCACGTTCATAGATGTTCACCATAATGTCTTCCTGCAGCAGCTGCTGATCGCGCATACCAGACAGGAAGGATTCTCACATGTGAAGGCCCAAGGGGTGCATCTACTCCCACACAGCCTAATAATGTCACAGTACAGACAGTTGCTTAGCTGCACGTTTGTTTCCTTCTAGTGGCAGTCGCTCATCCAAGACCTTCAAGCCGAAGAAGAACATCCCAGAGGGCTCCCACCAGTATGAGCTGCTGAAACACGCTGAGGCAACCCTGGGCAGTGGAAACTTGAGACAGGCTGTCATGTTGCCTGAGGGAGAGGATCTCAATGAGTGGATTGCTGTCAACAGTGAGTTGATGAATACAACAAACCTATTTATAGAAAACATCACTTGGTGCAGAAACTAACATTTTACATTTCTCAACTTAAAGTATGCTTGTACAGAGGTTGAACACATCCCCAAATGGTAAAAGAAGAAAAGTATGGTCCAACACACACACAATTAAGATTAAGGTTAATGGTTGACTGATATGAGGTTTTTCAATGGCCGATGATGACATTTAGTGAGCAGGACGGCCAATGGCCGATATCAAAACAAAGAAAAGTTCACCATACAGAGTATAATCTAATATACATGGTTATCTTAGCCAGTAACATGTTGTTATAGATGGATTTTATTAAATTAATGAAATAGAAAAATACCTTGGGATCTGATGTAGAACATGACTGGTGTTTAAGGGAGAAAGGGGTACAGTTTGTCAGATGGGACGTCATTCAACTGCATTATTCTCCGCAATACCAATATATATTTAACACTAGCCAGTAATGTTTTAGATTAGTTTTACCACCTTTTAAGATGGGAGACGTGTTAACATTTACAAAGGCGATGGTGACTGAGGAAAGTTAGGGCTCAAAATTCACTTTTTCACCACCATCCCATGACTCACAAGGGGGAGCGCTAACATCGTTCCACAGCAGTCACACTGACCAAGGCTGCCTGCAGATGTGTCTGCAGATACTTTTTGTATACCGGCGTTTGAGGTATTGGCCGAAAAATGCCAGATATTGGTGCAATTAAATAACTAATTAAGACTGTTTGTGAAGTAAGCAGTGGTAACAACAGAATTATTTGAAACAAAAAAATAAAGGCTGGAAAAAATATTGTTGGTAATATGGTTTGGATAAGAATCCTGTTATCTGTATAAGAATGCAGCAAACACACAGGAAATGCAAAAATGTGGTCATATATGACATTTCACATCATTAATTCTACATTGAGAGAAAACCACTAGATTCCTTACTAAACACTAATTTATGGCAGTAGAAATTTTTCTAAAAATGCAGGTCACAGACTATGTTGTATAAAAAGACTAGATAAAACCACTGTATGTATAGCAAAGTGACACTCTTTAGTTTATTGTTACGAGCATGAACATTTCTTAAAATGAACCCTTTCTTCCAGCGGTAGATTTCTTCAACCAGATCAACATGCTGTATGGCACCATTACTGAGTTCTGCACTGAGACCAGCTGCTCTGTTATGTCTGCGGGACCAAGGTAACCGCCAACAGTGTCCTTTTTTTTAATGCATGCAGCTGTTTACAGGGCTGAGTACAGGGCTTCCAATAGTTTATTTTTTCTAATTTTAGTCAGAAGGTTTACTTAAAGATTTGTAAAGGTGTTATATATGGATGTAATTTAACATGTAACATATAATCTTAGCTAAAATGTTCCTTTCTGTATGGAGTGAACCTGTCAAAATTGGCTAAATGTAATTCGACAAGTGTCATTGAAACAAGGGAAGCGTTTAGTCTGATGTATGCATTTTTGGAAACGGGAAACTTCACATGAGTTGGCCGAGACACGAGATGCATCACACAAAGCTCGAGCACTTTGAAGAACATTTGAAAACATGAACAGTGGTACAGGCCTTCATAACACTCCTTCAGTAATATGATTTTACAAAACATTTGTTATGAAAGGCAGTCAAGCATTACTAACAGAAGAGAACCAGGATTTAACAATATTTAGGGATTGCATGTTACTGTCTTTAAGAGCTATGAGAAACACTCCTTACTTGTTTTAGTGTTCTAGCCATGATGAATATATTTATTTTAATTCAGGTTTTGAATGGTTGAGACAGTTAAAGTAATTTAAATTGAAATACGTCACCTGAATTATCACATGAGGAAAACAGGAATTAAATTTTGCATGTGGTCCCTGTAGAAGCTATCTAGATTTGGCACTTCCTCTATCCCCTCTCCTGCCAAGTCTGTCTGTGTTCAGTCTCTTAATCAGGAGGAAGAGGCCGGGGTTCACTTCCTGTTGACATAGCCTCCATCATAGCATACTTTTGCATTTCCCCCTGCTTTTTTTTTAGCTTATCTACTACCCAATGATAATTTCATGTCCTGACAGAAAGGCAGAATGAGTGCATGTCATGTAGAGCCTCCATCTCTCCTACGTACGTCTAACTATTGAAGATGCCGATTTATTTTGTTCTTTCTTTGTAGATATGAGTATCACTGGGCTGATGGCACCAATATTAAGAAGCCTATCAAATGCTCCGCGCCCAAGTACATCGACTACCTGATGACCTGGGTGCAGGATCAACTGGACGATGAGACACTTTTCCCCTCCAAGATAGGTGAGGTTTGATGAGGAAAGATTTATCATTTTCAGCAGTTTGGCAAACAAACTTTTCTGTGATGATTTTAGTTGTAGTTTCACCTTTTTACATTAGTGTATTACGTACCTCTGAATCATCCAGCAGCTTTTCTGTCAGTAGAGCTCATCTCCAAACATCACCAAACAGGCTGTAGTCACATTGTTCTCCAGTAGACCAAGCGACTACATACATTATTTCATTTTGATATTACCTTTCCTCAGGCAAGTTCTCTTTTCCTAACTTTTACCCTTTGGGAGTTAAGTTTACTTTGTGTGCTTTCTTTCCTTCTTTCATTGTCCATCAGTCTGGACTCTCATAGGTTTGTCATTTGATATGCCGGTATATG